GTAGAGTGATCGGTGTATGCATTATGTGATCGGTGTCCCTATAGAGGCGTTTGCTACTATTGCAATTCCATTTTCGCCTCTCTTATTTTGTCAACTAATTTTCCTTTTTTTTGCTCGTTAAGTCAACTAATTTTCTCTTCTCTTAAAAACGTGTATTTGCTACTATTTTACAAAAAAAAAAATTCGCAACTAAAATGAGCACTACGATTTTTTTTTTTTTTTTGAAGTGATAGCACTACGATTTTCAACTATTGAATGCATGCAAACAACACTAAAAACTTAGCTAAACTGAGAGAACGTAGGTTGGCTCACACCGGAGTACGATTATCTTCGGATTAGAGCATTACACATACTAATTATATATGTTTATCATTAATCAACAGATTCTAAAACTATCGTATCTTCGCTGATAAACAAAAAAATTATAGTAAGTTCTCATTGTCCAGCTTCATATAACTAGTTATATTGTATAATAATACTGAATCTATTTATCTTGTGTTATATAAGATGTTGAAACATGTGTTACATAGAACAACCCCTTTTCTTGTGATGTGAAAAGTTTATCATACCATTGACGTTAATTCGTTTTAGTTTTATTACGTGTAGAATGTTTTGATGTAGGTTTTGTATGTTGTGCGCTAGCTGAATCATTTACATTTTCCTATTAGCTAAATAGTAACATACACTACATTATCAAAATATCATCTGCAACCCTATTCTTTTAGAGCATGGTGGTCATATTCATGGTCCATAAATGTTTTAACAAAACTAGAGGAAAAATATACATATTTCACCTCACCGTATAACACTTTTAATATTTCATTTAACTAAATGCTTGGTTAGTTATATCATTGTCTGATACCATAACTATATAGACCCAAAAAGTTGAGCTACCTCTTTGAAAATCATCTCATCTCAATGGACCCGTCCATCAAACCATGGTCACCTATCCACTCTTTATTTCCACCTAACCATTTACACTCTGAATAAAAACCTCATATAATATTTTTTTTTGAATTACAAACCTCATAATATTTCTCCAATATATAAACGTTCCCACTTTCTCGTTCTCTCACAACCCCCCACAACACTCGCATCATCATGGCTTTTTCCACAAGATCAAGTCTCTTATTATTTTTCTCAACATTTCTTCTTTTATCTACCCAAATCAACGCAAGAGACAGCTACTCATTTGGCAAGGTCCAAAGAGAAAACCCCAAAGAACAAAACCCTAACAATCTTGTCCCTATCCAAACCAACGAGACGAACGAGCAAGAAGACGAGAACCCTGCTTTTATCCCCCAAACCGAAAACGGGTACGGCTTGTACGGTCAAGAG